CTGAGGTCTTTAGAGGTCCAGGGTTTCCACGCCTGAATAGCGAACTCTAGCTGTGACCGTAGAAATGTCCGAAAGACTTTGATGAAGCGATCCTCATCGAAGGTAGAGAAAGCTCTCTCGACATGATAAAGGACTGACATCGCAGACTTGGCTACCTTGGAGCAGTGGAGCCACGGTTTTTAATGAAGCCGTTACCCACCTACCCAAATCTTTCTGGGCATCTACCTCCTGCAGTGGTATGCCATTTAGGTGGTAAACCCTCCAGCTCAGAGATCGGGTCCTGCCGACTCGAAAAACACTGCACTTAGTCACATTAAACACCAAAAGCCGGTCCTGTGACCATTTCTCGAGTCGGGTCAGGTCTGCCTGCAAGCGCTCTTCGTCAAATTCAGTTCGGATGACGCTCCAAAGTTAAACATCATCAGAAAATATGGCGACATTACAATTCAGTTCACGGACGCAGTCGTTGACGTATATAATGAATAGGGTAGGGCCAAGGACGGAGCCTTAAGGAACACCGCTTTCAACCGCTACCTCCGCCGACTGCCTGTCACCGACGTGGACGATTTGAGAGCGACCGATCAAGAGGCTTTGGATCCACCTCAGGAGATTACCGCTAATGCCTGTTCGGCTTAATTTGTAAAGGAGATGCTGATGTGGTACACTGTCCAATGCCTTCTTAAATTCGACGTAGATTGCATGCACTGCATTGCTGCCAGCGACTGCCCGGGTCCGGCGATCTAAACAATAAAGTAGGTTTGTCACGCATGATCTGCTTCTACGAAATCCGTGCTAGGCATCGCATAGCAGATTATGCTCTTCTAGGAAGTGCATTATTTCTCGCTTAATTATTTTTTTCATAGTTTTTCAGCAAATTGAATTAAGGCTGATTGGTCTGTAGCTGTTTACTAAGACCTTTCTGTCGCCTTTATAAATTGGTGGGATTCGTGCGGATTTCCAATCGGCGGGCAAATAGCCTGCTTCGAACGAAGCTTGGAAGAGCATGGACAGCGGTTTAGATAATTCTCCAACAAGCACCTTCAACATTTTGGGCGGTATGTCATCCGGTCCAGGTGATTCAGACTCATTCAGCGTCAACAGTTCATTGCGAACAATAGATTCGGCGAAAGAGACATGCTCAATCGTTGGCCCGTCCACTATGTCGCAGACGGGAGGAAGAAATGCGCTTTCCTTCGTAAAGATGGACTTAAAAACTGTGAAAGATGCTCTGCCTTTTCTCCGTTTTCACTGAGTTCTAGGTCATCACTAGTCTTCAATAACGGGATTGGGGCTCTGTTTCGTGTACTTCTTCTTATATAACCATAGAATAACATCGGATTTTCTGCGGCTCGATTCAGTAGGTCTTTCTCGAAAGTACGCCGCATCCCGAGGAATAGCCTCCTAACTAGGTTCCTCTGTGCTTTGTATGCATTTATCGACACAGAACTCCTATCCCAGAGGAATTTCCTCCACAACCTCCGCTTTTTATTCACTTCTTTTTTTAAAGCTTGTGCTAGCCACGGGTGTCTGCTGTTCAGTTGCTTCCGTGAAATAGGACAGTAGTCTATGAGACGAACGTGCAATAACCCACCAAACCAGTCCCAATCCTTGATTATGTCACCGGAAAAAGCTGATTCCCAGTTTATGGTGTTTAGTTCAGCTTTCATTTGAGCAGTCACCGCGCCAAATGTTCCTTCTAACCCTGGTGGCCTGTTCGGGCAGAAAAAAATGGAGCACTCCCACAACAGTACGACGTGATCGCTTCGACCTAGGGGGGGTAGACAGTGCACCTCATCAACGCTGTCCAGTGACTTCGTAAAGAGCAGATCCAGACAGTTTGACTGTTGCCCTTCGCGCACCCTCGTCGGAAAGGAGACGTGCTGAGTGAGAAAGAACTTGAAGGTCATGTCCAGCAAACGTCGGTCGAAAGCATGGTCTGGACCAGATGCATAAGCTGAACTCCAGTCGATAAGAGGTGCGTTGAAGTCCCCCATGATTAAGACTTCGGACCGGATAGAGAATCTCTCCAGGTCCTCAATCAGACGGACGTCCGCTGTGGGATCATTTCTCGGCGGTCGGTAGACCGTCAGGATGTCAAGGCTCGGTGAACCCGCTGCTTTTATAGTTAGCCAAATTGCCCCAGAAGTACACGTAAATTTATCTGTTTTGTCTGAGACTATAAGCCCGTGTTTTACATACCTGAGTACTCCTCCGTCCCGACTTGTCTCTTCTAAACAACTGGTATCCTGTTATAACTAGCTCACGGTTGTCCACCTGCTGGTTCAACCAAGTTTCTGTAAGTGAGATTACATTCGGGGATAGATCAGATAAATGGATCTTTAGCTCGTCGACTTTCGATAACATGCTCTGCACATTTGTATATAGAAATTTCAGTTTGCGATTTATAGCTGGCAGAGAAGTAGTTTCGATGCGTCCGTCATCATTCTTTTGGCAGTGTCGAAAGGTAAGCGGCAGCAAATTTCCCGCCATTAGATTTCTGATTAGACTACTTCATTGAGCAATTAGAAGCCTTTAACGATCGCATACAGTGAGGTTATACGTGCACAAAAACCAGAAATCGCACTATTTTAATTTCAACGGGGAAACTGTTTAATGACTTTTGATGGCTCAACTTTGCCAGCTGAGGACGCTAAATAATCCACGCCAGGTGGAAAAATTAAGAAAAAACTTGAAATTTTCATCCAGCCATTGACATCCACCGGTCCTAGTTCGTCTGTTTTCGACAACACAGTTTTCGACACAAGGCTTATTGCACAGCCTTTTATTTAAATTGGCTTATAAGTATCATGCAATAGCACTGATAATACCGATAAGTCCAGGAGTGGTGTAGGAAACTAAATATTTCTCCGGCTTCATACAATACCAACTGTTTCGGAACGTGGGTAATTTGTCAAGCTTTACGAGGCTCAATCAAAAAACAGACGGGCTATCAGGTAGTCGTGGATGTGCGCAGTTCAGCATTCACGCCCACCGAGTGGTTTTTGCTTGCACGTCTTCCGTCGAGACAAGAGAGAAGTGTACACTTTAACTTCCTCCAGACTAGTCACAAACACTGCTTTGGTCTTGGTGACCACCTAATTAAAACCCGAGTAATAGATTTCGCTGGGCCACGGCAATCATGACGCATGCGCAGGCTCCACGCCTCCCGTCCCAGCATCCGAAAGTGCAGTTATTTCGGCTACGCGAGAGTTAAGATTAAGTAGTGCGAAAAAAGATCCGGTCCTACCTCTTTCCTCTACGAAAAACTGCTACGCAACCTACACGTCCAAATGTAAAAGGAGCTTCAACCTCCAGCGAAACTGTATAAGCTGGTAAAGAACTTAAAGCGCCGCAGGAAATGCAGCTTGTGTTCGTGCCTCGTCAACCGGTACTGATTCCCCACTTCAAGAAATTACACAAAATTCTCCACAGCATATCAACCAGGAAAGAAAACAGTTCTCTGGACTTGGAGGTCTCTGTATGAAGAGTCCACCATTCAGGCAAGACATCGAGATAAAGAGCGATTTTTCAGCTACTCCAGTTACTAAAGCGATAACTTCTAAAGACAGAAGAAAACGCTGTGATTTCTGTTTGTTGGAGACTCTTCGACTCTTCTTGGCACACAAACGCCAAATGTGGAGCAATTATGCTGACTGATCTAGGGGGTCAACCGCAAAGTATGATAAAACGCCTAGGCAGGAGGGTAGACGCAAAGGTATTGAAACCTCGTGCGCTTTGTTTACTGTTTCATGTAATAAGTTCGTGACAGAACTCACACGTCTTTCCCCATTCATTCATGAGATGGCCGTCACCAGTCGGCAAGAATATTGTTGCGGGCAAACTTTTGTTGGCAGGTGTTAAGACCGTGTTGATGCCTACCGCAGACCTCATCTTAGAATTTATTTGCCATAATCCACTGTCGGATAAGTCACTTCCGATCGGATGCCAGTCCTTAATTGATAATAACCGAACAACTCCGTTCCTTAGCTAGCATTTATAAAACGAATGCAATATAGATAAGAGAAAATAGACACCACAGCATAAATCTTTGTTCGGTTGCTTCAAAGTGAACTCTGGCAACTAAGTATGCCTTAAAGATCGCTACACCCTACAGTAGTTGGAGAGGCATTCAGGAAGTAGGTTCAGGACTCCGACTCCCCTCCATTAGATCTGACGCCTGGAGGACTGATACCCTACTTGGCGTGCACTCATGAAATGTGAGATTTAAAACTTCAAAGAAATAATCCTGACAACCAGGTGAAGCAAACCGACTACGAGAAGAAGAGATGCTAATACCGAAAATAGCTATGATCACTGCGGTCTTACGAGTGTCGTTTTTGCTAATTTCTGTCGACCGAAGGCGGAGAGATTGCGTTCGAGTATGGCTCATAGAACCGGTAGTCAAACGCTAGCTAGATACCAACATACTCGCAGGCACAACGAGGCGGTCTGACCTAAGGAATCTATTTTTTGGGAGAATTTGAAATAGCATTGGTGTGAGGCTGCCAATAGGGCAGGCTTCGAAGCAACCAATTCCTGTGTGCTTAAATAACCGAATTGTGGTGTGTGGAGACTCCTAGTCGATTTTAAGGGAAACAAACTCCACCGCAACGGATAGAAGCTGAGAAACATGAAGAAATCTTAACATATCTTATATCTGCTTCAGTCGTTCTGTGACGTGCTTGGTCGAGGTAAGATTAAGTCCAACAGCATCCAGCCGTTGTCTGTTGTGTTCGGTCTGATAAAATAACATGAATTGGTTTTTTGTTTACATTTGACGATCAAGCCGAAAATTACTTAATAGGGATCTTGACACCCTTCAACAAAAGGCGTAAGAATGTTGGGCATCCTTCATTTACATTTCGCTTGAAGGTGCAATAAAGTTCTCCGCATCCAAAACTGCTCAAGCGAGTTTCGGATTAACAGTACTACTTGAATAGAGTTATCTCCTCGGGAACCCAACTACTTCAAAATTCGGTCAGACCGATATTGTCCTCTAACTACTGATCCTCCATCATTGTAGTAAATTCGACGCCGTTTCGACGGAAGAACTCAGATTCCACCAATTGAATCCTCACTCTGGAACGATCCAGGGGATCACATCGCCGATCTAAGTAGTGTCCAAAGATGGAAGAAGACTGGGATGGGATGGGTTTGGAGGCTTCCTAAAGTAAGAAACATTAGGAGGAAATTTAAAGTCACTCACCAGGACGTCAGTCAGTTAGCCGCATAATACCGTGGATATATATATATATATATATATAGTGTATAAAGTTAGCGAGGAATGTCCCACAGCAATCTGCGTGCATACCGCCTGGACATAAGACCTGATCGGACGCATAAAAATGTTCACTGGCTCAAATAGTTACGCAGGAACTCTTTATTGAAACGGTGTTCAAGCAGGTTTCTACGGTTACTGAATGCAACATATTTCCATGAATTTATAGTGATGTTTATGATTATGACAATCCTACCTGAAAGAGAGTTTTCAGCCTACCCTGATCGCCGTTAATATTTGTGTTTTCAAGCAATCGGATAAACTTTTATTTATAAAGAAAGACTTAAAAACTAAAAACTTAAGATTAAAATGAAAATTTTCGGCTTCGTTTCAGTAGTCAGCAGTCAGACCCCATGTCGGCAAGACCAGGCGAAGTCATTTAGTTATCGGTATCTAATAAACTGTAGAAAAGCCCCAGGATACATTTCCAAGAAGTATTAATAATAAATCCGACATTGTGGGTGAGAGCTATGGGACAAAGTGCCAGTGAAATGCCCTTGTCGTCTGAAAAGTACAATATGGAAAACCAAAGTCGTCAATTGGCTGAAATCGTTCAAAACTGCGACTAATGGGAAAATTTATCGGAGGGACATTGCTGTTCTGTTACAGTCAGTAGTTCCAGGAAGGCTTGCTGTTGAAAACGGCCAGAAAACCGTTTGGCAATCATAACAGAATACACCACCCGAAGAAGCGCAAATGCGCTGGTGTGCTCTCACAACCTACAGTCTGTGTTGTCTCGATTGAAGTGTTCAAGAAGACCCTGGAAAATTGAGTCACTTGTGCTCCAGAGACCATGATACAGCAGATCGACTAGTTGAGCTATGGACTAACAATAGATTGGTCTCCTTGTCGACTGGAGTGTAGAACAGAAAGATTTCGACGTTACTTAGAGGCCCCTACCTTCCTCTCAGAATGTGACGCGAAACGAAAACCTTACACAAAAGTAGACTTGATGTAGAAAATAAAATAGGATGTCCATAAACGTCAATGGGAAATTGCAAAACTTCTGCTGGGTAGGTCCTTTCCTTTGTGCTCCTGACAGAGACCCAGTTTCATGACCGTGAGTTTTAAAATTGATTTCAATGGAAGACGACAGTAAAAAAGTACGACATGGCTATAAAGCACGAGGCATTGCTGGGCTGGTTCACGGGTATGCTCTACAAAGCGGGGTGGACGTCAGCGATAATGAGAAGGGAAAACGATATTTGCATCAAATAGGTTTGGTATTTTATAAAATAGAAAAACTAAACAACTATATAAATATGTATTCAGTAATTTGATGAGTGTTTGTTATAGGCAGGAGTAAGTTAAACTTCCTAATGCACAGAAAATAGCCTTTTGAAGGTTGAAATATTTCAGCACTGAATTAAACATCAGAGGGGGAACCAGAAGTTACTTAGCAATCAGGTTAATTGTCAAAAGAGCGTGGAAATTGACGTATGGGGTTTTCTATCAAAGTTTGCTCCAAGAGGAATAGATGATTCATGATATTCATCGATTGATCATATAAGACGATTGAAGTCCTGTCAATAGTTAAGCTTTCAGTCAAAATTAAATGAACCAAATATGTCACTAATATCCACTGAGCAGAAGGGAGGAAAATACATCATCCATTGACGTATGTCACCATCACGTTTAAAATACAAGGTTTGTCAAATGGCCCTCCAGAATAACACACTGATCTATCTGATGTGTCGTAAACGACATTAAATGACCAAAACACACAGAACAGTATTATCTTTCCAAAAGAATCACGAACAGCTTGGAAAATTGCCAACCTAGACACCCGAGTATTTATCTTTCACTCAAACTATGTGCTGTTTTAATAGTTGGATAAATAGCCTCTTCTGCAGATATTAGTCCCAAATGCTCTCAAAAGCGACTTGGAAAAACGTCCACGTTGCCTGAGAAAAGACTCACTTACTTCATCATGGATGTGCAGACCAACCATTTTGTCGTGTCGTCGATCATCGCGTCTCTGTTTTTCATTAAAACCAGTTTCCTTCGAAAACACAGCATCGTAAACAAAGGACTTTTCTGTGGGCTATAAAGGAAAAAAACCACTTATTTGACTGTGCTTCGTTGCTATACTTCAGTCCTTTTCAATGAAGGAGCCCCGAGTTCCCCTGAGGGGCTGGTGAGGATTTAATCATTTGTGAACTTTTTATACACCGACCGTTAATCCTGCAAACGTTATGGACATTACTTAGCCAAAATGCATGGGGAAAATCGTTATGAATTAAATAAAATAAATATACGACATATTAGGAGAATGAACTGTAAAAAGAAGGACGGATTAGAACAAGACTCGGAACATTCCTATGTTCGTCAGACTTTATCTGGTGCGCTCCCTTCAGTGTAACTGTAAGAAAAATAAACCCTCCTGTAACTTGCATTCGATTTCGCAGACCATCGCCTTCGCATGGCTTGTATTTGTCCTTTATACTCGTAGTCGTCATAAAAAGCCAATCGAACGCCCCATTTAGAGGACAAGGACAGCAAGGATAAGTCCCGAGGGCAATGTGTTCAAGAAAAGAAGTTCAAACTTGAGAGTTGCAAAATACTTCAGACCACTTATGTTATCAGTCGAGATTAAACTTAGCGAGCTTTAAGTATAATCCACTCACTTTAGTTTCTTCCTGCGTGAAGGCATATTTCAAAACTGCCCTAAATTGCGTATCACTGGTGGAGTATTCCAACCAGCAAAAATTCTGAAAGACTAATTGCAGGAAGCTACAAGGCGGATGACCTTTAACCTCAGGGCTTTTATACTCTAGTAGTTGCTGATACCGACAAGATATAGCGTCGATATCGACATGTCTATATATATATATATATATATATATATATATATACATGTCGATATCGACGTTATATCTTGTCGGTACGTATATACGTATATTGCCTAGAAGGATGTTCCCATAAACTATTTTTCTGAAATAAAAGTGACCAGTCACCAACTATAAACAACATTGAGTTTACGTTTGAACTTCTTCTACTTAGAAGACGGAGTGGAGCAAAGCAGAGTCTACTACCTATCAGAACATTTGGAAAATTATCAAAATAGTAACCATATGGTTACTATGACAACGCCAGACCTTTTTAGGAGCATTATAGTAAGTGTATTCTCTCGGTAGGTTTCGCTGTTTTGCAACGTGGCTAAAAGCTGATAGGGTAACAGGTCGACCCTCTAAAATGAACTCCTCCTTCTCGGTTTTCACATGCAAAACATTCCGATCCTTTTCATTGGTTTCGGCATTCAATTTGTCGCACAGCATTGTAATGTTATTTTTGGGAAAGTTAAACAAATATGCTCAAGGTAACGGGGGACTAAAGAAATGACGAAGACCAAATGGATCTTGCCAAAAATGCGAAAACGAACGTTATAAGAGGAAAATATAAATCACTGGTCCCGTCTGCGATTGTTCCCTTCGTATCTCATATCAGAGACCCTCTAACCAGGTCATATGAATTCCTGGTCCCGTGTATGACATTTTTTGCGAGAAACTGTTTGTACATGAAATTTGGATTAAGCACTGGACGGTTAGCAAAATTTGAGCCTTGGAAGAACGCAAGAGGTGAAGCACAGAAGAAGAAAAATAATAGGGTATAATGGGATTATTGTGTAGGTAGGTAAAGCTGATAAGTAAAATGTGCCTGGACAAACTTCGCGAATGAATGGCCGATTTAAAGTCTCTGAGCATCTGAAAGGAAGAACAACAGACTGGCAAACGGTATGAAAATGCCGAGCGCAAAGAGAAGGAAATCGAGGCTAATATTCAAACATTGGTTTAGTACAGATTGAAGTGCACGAATAAGGTTCTTTGTTTCGTCTATACAAATATATATGGGGTCAAGGAACAATCACAGATCGCGTTACGGAACTCCCTTGACACGTTGTGCGTTGGGGTTCTCTTGTGAGTCCTGCCAGCAACCGCACAGCGACGCTGACGTGTGCGTTCTGCAGCGCGATTGGTGCACACCATTCCACCATTGTAATATATCGAATCGAAAACGACAGGACAACGACTCACTGGCGAACTAGTTAGACCATTGGACTTTTAACCAACAGGAAGCAAGTTTGAGCCTCGGGTGTTGCATGCCTTGGGGTTAGCAGTGGCTAACTGATGGCGATTAACAAGCCAGAAAGGTCATTCCATACTCCCTTGTCTGTGTCGGTATTGCCATTCTCCATAGACGCATGTTTTTTTCGCACAGTCCTGGAAAGTATGCACCCATATCTTATCTGTAGCGAAATGCTTATGAAGATCCTTCTGCAGCATACTATCGATGCGCGGTGGACGGATTGATATAGATGATGGACTAAAAATCAGTCATTATAAAAATGATCGCAGTTCTGCATATTCTGCTTTCAAGTCACCTCCTCCCAAACAGGAAAGGAGTCTGATAAGATGGATGGGTGTCCATTACGAAGACGACGTCTACACTTCCACCTTCGGACTCTTTCAGAAATCTTCAGAAAAGGAGAACGAGATGGAGCTCCTAGAAGTGGAAACTGAAAAGTTAAGAAACCACCCTCGCCATTTACCTAAACAGAGGAGATGAGTGACATCAGAAACTTGGAACAAAGAAAGAACGCGCGCTTGCCAATAGAACTTTTTTAGTTGTGTCAACCGGGGAGATTGACAATCACTCTTTGGTGCTAGAAAATGGCGACCCGATGGGATCTCATTGAACAAAAACTGTTTCGGAGCATCGCGAAAAGATAAATCGGACAGATTAAATAACAAAAATCAAGTACACTGCAAACAAGAACTGTGGTGCCGAAAGTCGCGAATGACAAATGGCAGAACCAAAAGACATGGAACTACACTTGGATGATGAAAACCCCATCTGCCATGTTGAACTCCATCTGCTTAAGCGTGTTATCTCGTTAACTTGCTCAAAACAAACATTTGCGGTGTCCTTAGAATATGAGTAAACACACTTGAGGTCATCGGCATAAATTAGAGTTTGTGAATTTCTGAGTTCAGTGGAAATATCACTGATGTGAAGAAGGAAAAGTAGCGGACCCAGAACCGTGCCTTGAAGTACGTCACTCGTCATCCAGTGAGGTGTCGAATGACTATTACGAACCATGACTTTCTGATAGTGACAGGATAGATAGCACGTGATGAAGTCGAGTAGAGGCGGCCTGATGCCGAAGCTTCCAATGTTACTAAAATACGTCTATGGAGTACTCTGTCGAAGGCTTTGCTAAGATCAAAACGGATAAGTACCACTGACTGCTGTTCATTACGAAGAGCAGTGATTAGATTAGGAAATGCCAGGTGTTAATCTATTATATTAAATTAAAAGCCACAGGTATTATCAGAATATACATTCATTTTGTACCGAACAAGCATTAGTGCACGTTTTACGAAGGCGAATTTTAATGTTATCATTTTTGAATTTCCGGGGAATAAATGCGACCACTCAGCGTGCTTGGAGACAATAAGTTTTTAGTTTTCTTAAAGGTTGACACTGTCGTTTTGAGATAATCTGACCGTTAATTGCACTTGGGACATTTATGTCATGGCGGCTGGTGTGTAGTTGAGGGTGACAATTGTTGCTACCAACCATAACTGAACATTTGTTATAATAAAGGGACAGGCACCTTGTACAGCTGTACCGTGGAAAAGCATCTAGGTCACTTTCCTGGTGCTCAAGCAGGGTGTGACGGTCTACCGGTTTGTCTCAGCAGGAAAATTTCGAATCATCATCATAAATAAGAGGCATATTTATCCGAAATAATCCTGGCCCATTACTGACATTGTTCACAAGGTCAAGATGTACAAGAAGGAGGCACGGACAGTCTACGCCAAGCAAGCCACGGAGCGTATTCACTACTACCTCAGCCGTCTCCGTAGCATACTGTGTCTGAGGAGGCACTGGAGAATCCCATGCACGGAAGTCCCTTAATGAACCAGAATCCTCAGCATCCATGCCATGTGGGTGAAAATCCATCCACGTAGGGATGATGGACAATGGAGGCTATTACAAGCGACTTTTCTACGTCGACGCCGTCCGCCAGCATGGGCGAGAGAAATGCACTGCAAGGACATTGATCAATTCACCCAGGAACCTATAAATACGCTCGAAGACCTTCGAGGACTTTGTACAAGATCTAATAGCCTTAGGAAGAGCGGTGGATATTTTAGTAGCGATCACGACGTCAACCGAATCGCCGCCACTGACCTAAAACGCGAATACTCAGCATCTTTCCAAATGCCAATGCCGCAACCGAGCATCCCGCATACGGAAAACCTCCTTGGACATCTCCAGACCCAACACAATAACGGACCGACAACTACACTTGTTGCCTCTACAAAGGTCACAATTTTCATCCTGTCACCTTCGCCGCCACCATCCCCGATGAGTCCACTTGTAATGTCTGGCGTTGCCGCCGCCGTCCACCATTTTCATAATCACCGTCAAGACCTCGCGGCGATAACTACCATTCATTTCACTCCCGAACCTTGTGAGATCATCCCGACGTCCTTTCAACCACCATCCACACCACGACTCCCCGCACCGCTAGTAATGCAAACTCAATGCAGAAATGTCCTCATAGAGATCATGCCTTAAAATTGCGCATCGGCAAGGACCGGCTAACTAGTGCCAGAACATCAACACGGACATGCCTTCCCCACCTCAGTTACTCACGCTAACCACGCACATTCAGTCATCACATGGTCTTGCCTGGCCAAATACGCCTCTGTGAAAATTTGCAGTAAGCCATCGCAGACCAACCCACAACACACCGCGCCTCCCCATCAGCGTAAACGCAGCACACGAAATCCTCCTACATGACCAACCACAGGCACGATGTAGGCACCTCCTGTGCTAGTATGTTGTGTGCTCTTGAGTTCTATTTCCGTGTCGTGTTTATAATATTCTAACAGCTAATAGCGCACCAAAAACTGTGGCTCGAAAGGCCGCCAAATGACGGGATAGCTCGCATCTCACGTGACAGACAGTCAAGTTGTTATGAAAATCCCAGTCATTCAGAACCCGCTTCTTTCTTGTTATAGCAAATCCTGATCTTCTGCGCCAAACCAGGGGTATGTAGAACGCGCGGACTGGCTGTTTAGGCTTGCCTATCACTCCACCCGAAGCCATCCCCAATTTTCTTGAAGCTGTCTCGACACCGGGATCAGATGCGTGATTTAGAGCAAAGAGAGAGCGGCAGACAAATCGGAGGGTTGCTGTCAAAATAAAATTATTCATAATGCTGGAAACCCGATGAATATTGACATCCGCGACGGTCTAACTGTCATTCTTCGATTTTACAGTAAGGCTGAATCATTGAGCAATTTACGACTCTCTGAACTATTTGCCAAGAGAATTTTGGGCTCCAAGTTTTTTAAATAATTATTATTTTTTTAAATGTCAGTTTACAGGCATTGTCAGGGAAGCGGTAAACACAAATCCGACCAGCAGTGAAAAAAAACTCCTGTGGGAAAGGAGTAAAAATATAGTTGGCGGTGGTTTTATGGATTGGAGGGTTCAGGAGAAAAGAAAACTGCTGGCGCCAAGCTTTCGATCGTCAAGAAGGGAGGGGTTGCACGGTATCGGATATTATCAGTCGCCAATTTCTTTCATGAAGTTAGGATTAGTCTAAACGGAAGCGCCGAAGAACAGCTGTCGCTGTTGCCGAAAGAAACTTCCCTGGTGAGACAGGCCATAGTGTTCAGAGACCTCAAACGCCATTGCTACGGCACAGTCGTTTGGTGAATTCAGCACACAAAATTTGTGGGAGCTTTTCAGAGTGCAAAAATCGAGTAATAGTCCTCTTCAATGAAAAATAATTTTGCAGATTTTTTACATTCCTAGGTAGTTTATTCCAAATAGCATTTGCATTTACAGAAAAGAACCGACGATATTTACCAGTACGTGCCAGAGGCGGAAATAAGAAGACCTCACGGAGACTGTTACGTCGTGGGTGGATATGATGTGTTAAAGAGGTGAGTAAGTTAAATGTGTGATTATATAAGAGTGGAAATAGCAAAAATAGTCCCTTTAGTAATCTACGGACCATAAAGGATCAAGACATGTAAGCCGGCAACGTTCTTGGTAAGGCAAATGTCGGTGTTCCGGGGTTAAAATTCTCTTGGAAAAAATGTTAGACGGATTCTATTTTCTTCCGCTCAGTAGCACGCATGAGGCTAAACAAAACCGAACACTATTCCAGGCCAGGTCTAACGTACATTTTGTAAAGGCGCATTCGAATTTCCCTAGTTTTAAAGTTTCGGAGGATAAACCCGGTCGTTCTACG